GCATACAGGAGACCCTTCACAACAGTGCCAAGTCACCTCATCGGCGCATGGTCGCCTTCCATGATGGTTGTCCCCCTTTAGCACGTAAGTGGCGCCTCCCATGGACCGGTCTGAGCCAGGAGAGTGCCCCGGCCATTGGACTTGAGGTCATGATCCAGTGCTACTGACTTTGGTGGAGCTATCCCATCGGGCAAYTCCTAGCCTCTAAGCGCATAAAAACTTGTCCTGTCCTGCCTTGGCTAGGACACCGCACGGGTTTCTTCCGTTGTAGAACTACCCCCGTGACAGTGGGGCGTAGATTTGAACTCACGATGACAAGACAAAACTCTGATATTATTCTGTAATTTATAATTTTATATACAGTAACACACACTTAGTCGGTTCTAACTCTGAATCTTGTCCACACATCTCTGCTTGATCCTCACCCTCAGCCCTCCCTTTATCCTAAGCGTCAACGAGAGCAGATGCTCTGGACACTTGTCTCCATCCACTACGTCCACGTGGAATCTCTCTATTACAGACGCTGCAATCGACTTCATCTGTATATACGCCATATCTTTCCCCAAACACATCCTCGGCCCGGCATGGAAAATCGGATACCGAAACGGGCTCTCCTGCCGACACGTTCCGCTCTCCAGCCAACGCTGCGGCTTGAACTCCCTGCAGTCCTTCCCCCATATCGCCTCCATCCTCCCCATTGCGTACGTGTGGTACGTTATGAACCACCCCTTTTTGATGAACGAGCCGTCCGGCAAGACGTCGTCTTCCCGACACGCCTTTGTGTCCACCGCCACCGGAGGATACAGTCTCAACCCTTCTGAGAGCGCCGCTTGTAGGTACTGCATTTCTCGTAGCTCATCGTAGCTATACGTATCGCCGATACATTTCCCTTTCCGAGCCCGAACCGATTCGAGTTCGTCTAGTATGTTTCGCTCTATGTCGGGTCTGGAGGACAGTATCCAGAAGAACCAAGCAAGTGACGACGATGTCGTGTCGCGTCCTGCAAGTATAAAGCTTATGACAATGTCACGCAGGAACTCGGCCGAGTTAAACTCGTCTTCCATGAATCGCGAGAGTAGATCATCGTTGTTTTGCTTCTGTCTTCTGTTTTCCATTCTTGACCATATGATCTTGTCTGCAAAATCATGAACGGTCGAGATGGCTTGCTTCAGTCTTCTCTCGGATCCTATATTCAGCGCTTTCTTTACCTTCCACAAGAAGGGGAACAAGTACATGAACCGGCCGGCGCTCAACCTCGCGGCCTCCTCAAACGCTTGCATGAACTCGCCGCTGGTGGTGCCGTCGCCGCCGAGACAAACGGGGTCGATATCGAATGCTAATTTACAGACGTTGTCGAACGCGAATCGCTCTAGAATGTCTTGGATATCAAGAATTTGGTTCGTCTCGCTAGCTCTCTTCAACAGAGGAATCAACCTGGTCTCTATCTCCGCCTTCACGTTCTCCATGACGAAGCTCCGGAGAGACTTTGTATTGAATTCGAAGCTTGCGGTCTTCCTCTGGACCCTCCACAGATCGCCGTCGGAGTTGAAGATGCCTTGGCCGAGGAAGTCTTTCAATAAGGCGATGAAACGGTCGCCTTTGGGGTAGTTCTCGAAGTTGGCCTTGAGCATGTGCTCGACGTTTAATGGGTTTGCAGTGATTATGCCGTTAACCTTTCCGGGGCGGTAGAAGGTAGCAGTGTTAGTGGGGGTGCGGCTGAGGACATCGGTGGTCCAGTCGAGGAAACGGTGACGGTTTTTTATGAACTCCGGTAGAGTTCCGATGAGAGGATAGATTTTGAAGCCTGCGTTGGAGTTGGATTTCTTGCATGAAGGATGGAAGTGGAGATAGAGATAGAGGGAGAGGAGAAAGAAGAGCAGGAGAGACTGGAGAGAGAAGAGATCCATGGAATCTCGAGGGTTGAGATTCGTTTGTGGGTAGATTTATCACTTATCAGTGATATTAATGGTTGTAGTGGGAGAGAAAGAGAAGGAATTTTGATGGCCGCACAAATTGAGGTTCAGACAAGCTAGATAATGATAATCCTTTGATGTCATGTCAAGACCGTGGACGGTTTGAAGGAAAAGTGAATAGAAAATCTCGAGTGGTTTGATAGTGTGTGAAGAAAGAAGGACTCGATCAGTATCCGTATTTTGGCTCGAGTAACAATCTACTGTTCAGCACCAGTTCGTTTGGCGACTCGCTTCCTCTTCTTCATGTCTTTTTTGAGTCCATTACACCTGCAAAAAAGAGTTTGGCATCAGAAAAAACAAAAGAAACAGAGCAAAACAGAACCTCTAAGTAAGGAACCTACCCGAACTTAGGCCGGTCGCAATGAGCTTGGCCTCCGTTAGATACTGATGGCAATTTAGCCCAAGCCGCGCCCATTACCGGAGGCCCTTCACCATCTCTTTGTCAAGCGTAACACCGGAGTTAGGGGCGGCCATCCCCCACCTAGTCTAGAACGGCCACCCCAGTACACTTTGCACCCCGAAGTAGTCCCGCTTCCACGCCGGGACTTCGTTGGGAAGTTCATGTAAAAGCTTAAAACCCGGGCGAGGAGACAGGTAATAYGCCTGCSTACGCCCGGGAAGGGRRCYCGCTTGCTTCTTAAGCATTAAAATAGAGGAGAAGATCTCCAAGTCTAAAGGAAAGCCCTGTTCGCAAAATAGGGAGATTGTCCCCACCAAGTTACGAATGGAGTTCGGGTGAAGTTGGCCGATCGCAATGCTGAAGTGGTTCAAGACCTCGACAAGGAGGGGATGGAAAGGCAGTCGCAGCCCCGCAGCGAGATGCTCCCGGAATATCACGATCTCATCAGGACTATGTTCCCAAGGAAAGCCTACCAGAAGGTATGAAATAAGCGTACTCCCCAAGCAAGTTGTAATAGGTAATAAGGGATTGGTGCCCCTCAGGCGTCATGGTCGAGGGGCCAAACTTGTCTAACGTCCGACTCCGACGAGAGGTGGACGCCAAACTACCCGAGGCGACTCGGCCTACGGGTTCGAACTCTTCCTCGAGCTCTACCTCCGGCTCGCTAGAACTATCAGGGGATGCAACTCGGTTCGTGGAACCTGCATCTGACCCACTTGAAGAACCGTCTGAGCTATCCGAGCTAGACATCGAGGAGAGAAGGTGGATTCCAGGAAGGTACTCACTCGGAAAAAGGCTTGAATAGACTACGGGAACTTGAACGAGCAAAAACCTTGAATGCGAACTAAAAGCCTAGACACGAGCTGAAACTTGGACGCGAGCTCAAGAAGCAAAGCACAGAAGTGACAAAGCGACTGGGGTCCCCCACTATTTATACCCACAGTGATCGAGAAGCAACAGCACAGAACAAAGCCAATCCGACGGCCTGCAGTCGCGCTGACCGCACGTCCCCTGAGACCGAGACGTGATTGGCGCACATCTTTCTGAAACTGACAGAGCGCCGGCGCACGTCTTTCTGAAACTAACAGAACGCCAGCACACGTCTCCTCGCATTAAAGGCGGCAGCGACATGTTTTCAAATTTGAAAAGACGCCTGCTGTCACATCTCCCAGCGGCATGCTTTTTGAATTTTTGAAATAAGGCACGCGCTGTCACGTCTGTCAGCATTTGTAGGCAGGTCGGTGTGTTTCCTGCCTTTTGGGCGCTCGAGAAACCCAAAGAACCCTGACAACACACCTTGCGCTATCAGTCAACCGAGATTCGAAGTACGGGACAAATCCACCTGCCACCTCGCGAACTCCCCGCGCCAGGGCAAGACCCTTAGCACGAGGTGTGGGGGGCAATTGATGAAGGAAGATTTGGCCCGACCTCGTAATCACTCAACACGTGGCAAAGGCAAACAGCTCGGCACAACAGCGCGCCCAAGGCGCGAGCATCGAAGGGAGGAACCAGCAGTCCGAACTCCCTACCAGCAGTCCGAACTCCCTACTAGGAGCCCGAACTCCCTACTAGGAGCCCAAACTCTCCCTTAGGCCCCGAGCCTCACACAGGGCAATGACCCGAATTGGCTCGCCTCATGGCAGTTCGGGACACTCCCCTATCCGAACTCAAGACTTCACCTCGCTCACCACTCCAGCACTTCGCCTCCAGGACGCTAGACTGAACAAACGTACCATACCTGACACCGAGGATGTTCGTATCCAAGGGCGGCGCACATGACTGACTTGGGATCTGACGCTTGATAGCCGCACTTCAACGGCCACCTACCACCGCCACCTGCCACCGTCGTCACCAGCCGTAGAGATGGCTCCGACAAAGAGAGCAGTGGCGGTTCTACCCAGCCAGAGGGGATGACATCCGAACTGGCAGGAGCTCAGAAATAATCATACCCGATCTGACAGAAGCTTAGAAGTGAGTGCGCGAGGTGGTTATAAATGGCTCCCTACCCCCCAAGAACAAGGTATGTGAACTTTGTGCCATCTGGTTTTATCTTGCCTTTGAGAGAACTCTAACTTGAGCTTCAAAGCAATCACACTAGGTTCCCCCCGGAGCTTCCTCATCTTCTCCGTTTCAGGTTCCCTATAGCTCCGTTCAGATGCAAGATCGTTGACAGCTAGGACCAACCGGATTGCACACCATCAAATCTCAATGGTAAGTTTTTTACAGTTTGATGTAAAACCTCATCGATGTACTTTTATATCACTTCTAAATGCAGCCTAAAGCTCAGATAGGAAAGAATACAAATACAAACATGTATAGTACAAACCAATCCATGTCAACATTCCTCCTTTCTCAAAACCCTCCTTGCTTTCTCCTTTAACTCACTCATTTCCCCTTCCCACCACCTCCCATTATGTCAAGTCAGCACCTCTCTTTCCTCCTTTACAAGAGTGGCCTATGCATTTAAACTTATAATGTTTAGGAATTTTTAATTTATCTCTAACTCCCCTATCCCCTATGTTCTCTCCCAAATTTTCCATAAAAATAGGGTTATTTTTTTACTTTTTTAATTGCAAAAATAAATAAATTAAACTCATTCCTAGCTAGCTTCTACCATCTTTCAGGTAAATATGTAGAGGCATGTTTCTGTTTTGAGTAAGCATGTTCGGTGGCTAATCTAAATTTCCTATTATTACACTCCTGAATCTACTAGGAATGATTATAATGAATGATTTAGTTAGATTATTCCCTGGTTTAAAACTTTTCATAGGAGGAGATTATTGCAGTTCAAAAACACTCTGGTTTTTCATCGTCTTTCTCATGAAGAGATTAATGTGGTTCTTCAGAGTGAGGATATAGAATGAGAAGCCAACAAAAAGATTTGAGGTAGCGATGGTGGCGGCAGCTCAGTGAATTCTATGAAACAGAACGGAGAGGGAGTAAAGGTAAGAGGAAGGATGGGGAGAGAGTGAAATTGAGCCAGGACAGACGGTTGGATTGAGGGAGTTTCTTCAGAGACTAGAGAGATTGCATTTGCAGAAAAAGAGGTCAACAGATTGAGGTTGATTGTTTGGATGAAACAAAAATATCTAAGGGCATTAATACTTAGAGATTTCTAGGGATGAAGCAGAGCATAATTGGATGCTTGATCAGAGATCAAATTACACGTTAGATTCTTGAACAATTTTGACAAAGATCATGTTTCTTTTTTCTAAAACAAACTTCGTGAAGATAGAACCCGTCTTTTCGTTTCCATTGTGCAACCTTTTTGTCCATGATTCAATAGGCTTCATAAATAAACCTCATAAACTGCCAAAAAAACATGCCAAGAACTTCTTGGCCTAAGAAAGAGTCTAGCATCTTCCATCTTGAAGTGGAGAGAAGATAAAGTTAGGCTTACCAAGACTAAGGAGAAAATTTTGGAGGATGTTCAAAACCTTAGGAGGTTTCTGCTACAAGAAGGCTCAATTTGGAAAGATTACAAATACAAATTTGTACAGTACAAAGACATACAAGGTTATACGCTCTACACATTTGTATTTATGGCTCAATTAGGAAGGAGTACAAATACAGATATCTAGAGTGCAAAACCTTGTAATTTATATTATTTTGTATATATTTGCACTCTACATATTTGCATTTGTACTTCTTCCAAATTGAGCCTATTATACTCCTAAACTGAGCCGTAGGAACATTTTTCAACCAAGTCAAACATCCAGAAAGAAATAGCTTTTTTTTTCAGTAGAAAGATATTTCATTTAAAAGGCCAAAAAAACAGCACCAAGAAAACAACAGACAAACAAAGAAAAACTGCTGAAACAAACAAAGGCAAGAAACCCAACAAGAGGACAAACATAAATTAAGGCTGCATTTGAAAATGATGCAAATAAGTGTTAATGCAAATATGTAGAGTATAAAACGGTTCATATAAATTGCAAAATTGGGTTACAATGGATGCAAACATGAATTCCAATAAAGCATATGCTTTTTTTTTTATTAAAAGCCCATTTAAATACAAATTTACTTCTTTTTTATTGATATACTTTTACATCTTATTATCAATGTAAATATGCATTGGTCTGTCATTTATCAATGCATAAATGTAATATTTCCAAACACAAGTAAAAATGAACCAAAGTGCAAATTTACCCTAAATGGAGATTTACACTCCATTTGCATTGTTTCCAAACGCAGCCTAAAGAAAAGCACTAAATCTAATCAACTTCTTACTGGCCCAAAGCTAAAGAGGTAGACAGGTAAAGAGGGACCACTAAAAAGGATCTGAAACAGCTACCCACTTTGCTGCAAGATGGGCAGCACCATTTGCATTTCTAAGACACTTGCAAAACCTGAAAAGCTTTCCTATCGAGCGGGCCTTAATATCTTCACAAATAAAAATAGCAAATCAACAGAGACAGAGTTCCGAAAATCCAAAAAGCTATCCACTAGGATAAAGTAGTCTGGTTCAAAAATTATCAAATTCGTATCATTTTCTACCGCAAAAAGAACTGCTTTCCAAGAGGGCTTTCACCTCCATCAAAAGAGAGAGATTGAAGAGATCTCCCCAAAACCAGCTCCCCAGCATGCAGCATCTATCAGCATCATACACCACAAAACTTAAGGAAGCTT